AAATAAAAAAAAGATAGAAAAATACATTATAAACTTATAATAATGGCAGTAAATACATTATCTTACATGATTCTCATGGGCAATAGGTTGGTTTTGGTACAAACACAGCATGAGATTACTAAGGTAATAAATAAGAGATGAAATGCATGTCAGTGGTACGGGGACATTCAAGCGACACTCTCACCTACTCAGTTTAAAAAATTACATAATACTGTTAAAAAAAGTCTTAAATACTACATTTTTAATAAGAAATAAATTAAAGAATGATAATATTGAGAACCAAGGTATTCAGAGACTTCAAGTCATGCTTTTTTTTAAGTTGACACAAAAGTTTTGTCAACTAAATTTTCAAAAGTATGTTCAGAGCAAACATTACTCATACAAACTTCTGAATTTTTTGGTAATAAGTAGCATGTACTACTTTTGTAGTAAGAAAATACTAAGAACAAAAGAAATTTGATCTGGAGTAAAACTCAGAAACCTAGCTCCTGCTTGCTAAGACCCAAGTAAATGATATTTGTGGGGGGAAATCTACATCTTTGAATTTATATCTACATCATTATTGGGTAAAAACAAGTGTAAGCTCTTTGTACATACCTTCTGGCTAGCTCCTCTGGCATTCGCTTTGGAACCAAGGCTTTGTTCAGTTCAATCTCCAATACAAGATATGTCCCTGCTTCTGTATATTGCTGAAAAAAAATTTCTATACTTCATTCATCCCAGAAAAAGTTATATTTATGTAAGTTTTAATATGAAATAATGTTCACAAGAAAGAGAAAATGATATATTGTATATATTTATACATACATTTATATTTAACGTTTGTTTATAGTACTAGCATACTGTATTTAATGTGATTTCAACTGCTAAAATATTTTTTGCATAGAAAAATAACTGTAAAGAAATACAGTAGGAAAAAAAAAAGAAGGCCACTAACACTTGCAATCTCAGCTATTTCTTAACGGAAACAGTTTTCTTTTTCTCTTTTCCTGGAAAGTTCCACCTCAGTTGAAACTCGACTTAACTTGCTCATAGTGTTTTTTATAGAAACCTCTTAAGTGAATGCTGTATTTCTTCCACTAACTTTCTTTCACTGATGTTGTTGTTGTTGTTGTTATGTGCCGTCAAGTCGCCTGCGACTCATAGCGACCCTATGTACAACAGCCCTAAACTCCGCTCTGTCCTGTGC